TGCGTGAGATTTAAATTTTTCGCTCTCAAACTGAATAAGTTTGCATGATATGAACTTATATATTATAGAAGGTTACAATAACTTATCTGTCATTAAAGCCCCTGCCTCGTGCATTTATGTAGGAATGAGTGTTTCAGCTTATGCTGCCGAAAACAAACGAGGAGCCTCGTCTCGAGTCTCGAGGAAGTTGTGCGCCTCTCTGAGGAGATGCGACCTTTGAGATATCAGGTCGTTCTTGCTGTGAATTTAGGACTAATATGAAAGACAATAAAACCATTAGACGCAAGAATGATAAATAATATCCGAAGGGATTGAATCATAAATTCTGCTTAGTTAAAGAGAATTTTGCCCAAGCATGTCCTGTGACGGTCCAGGGGCTATTCTGCACGTTCAGAAGATTCAACATCAGAGTATAAATAATAAGATCACTAAGGACCGTTTTATGATTTTCAGGAAATTTAGAGTCCATGTCGAGCGGCTGCGGCTGCTTGGATTTCTGCCATGACTGGAGGCCTCGGAGTCCTTGCTGGCTGATTTGCCCCTTGATCTCGTTTGGTTCAAGGAGGTCGTGTTGTCTCTCAAACCCAAGTTGACGGGCAGTGATTCCCTTAGTCAACCATAAACTCAAAAGATTTATCGTAAAAAATCATGGCTGATAAGAATAGAACGATGATGCTCAAATATAGAATTAAGAAATCCTCGTTAATAGGTGTAATATGTATATACACATAAATTTATTTTATACATGCAATGATGTAATTAACCATATTACTGAGTCGTGGTTGAGCAAAGCACATGCGGCACATGCGGTACTTTATTCACTTGATCAAAGTTAAATCACGTTTTGATCCAAAGAGAAAAAGGCACCGGAGGGAAAAGGTGCTTCAAAATTTGCAAAGTGAAGCTCAAGCAACATTTTAAGCATGCATATTAATCATAGCTTGTGTATGACGTTAGACTTCTAGTTTTGGCCAGTGTTGTACTTTTACCAAAAAGCGAAGCGAGGAAAGCAAACAAGCATGTGCCCCCCATAAATAATGGAAACACTAATAAGTTATGGATAGTCAGAATGTGGTCTTAAGGAAACATGCCAGTTAATCAACGTTGGATACGCATAATTGCTCAAGCTAGCATGTTGATTTCTATTAATGGTGCATATCTTGTCTCATATAGCTTGCACTAAAACGTGGCATTTCGCTATAAATTAATATAATATTTAAGTAATTATGCAATAGGCAATTAGGGAGCTTCCTATTCTGAAAACACAATATTGCCAAAGCAGTATGAGTATAGAACACAAGAGAGAAGACTTTCTATGTATGTGTTCTGCCCGTTAATCAGAAAGGCTCCAATGAAATTTGTAGTGTTCAATTAATCACTTACTCGAGAAGCAGGCGGAAACAACCAAACATATAAGGTTCTCGAAGTCAAACCTGTATTCCACCTTTAATTTCTTGGAAGTGACGGGCTCACCGTCGAGGCGATTCCTTTTTGAGGGGACTTGTGTCGATGGCTTGATTAGCCAACAGCTTATTTCGCAAAGTTGAATAGTCTGAATCCTCGTAGCGATTGTCACCCTCGGGATTCAAGCTTCTCGTGAACCCTTTACCAAAAATAAAAACTAAAGAAGCAAACAAGAATGCCAGTAGCGATTTGATCCTTGATAGTTAATTAAAATAAAGGTTAAGCAAACCTGTCCTACCTTGTCATGTTCTTATGTTTAACAAAACAAGTTGGTGTGTTACCTATGCTTTGCCCCCCGAAAACGACAACAAGTTTGTATGTTTCAAGGAAAATCTTAAACGAACCACAAACCTAAAACATGCATCTATTTTAAGCCAAAATTCGTGTAAATTGGGAACAAAACCTTGTCATGATTCGGCCGAACTTGTGACGGACTAAGGAAAATCTGAGAAGGGCGTTCTCTGCTTTCTTTCGTTCATGATCGGAAGGAGACGTTCCGCCTCATCTCTCCCTTCTTCGTCAAAAGATTCGTTGATGGAGAAACCTTAATCGGGGTCCCACTGGGTGTGCCACTTGACGAAGCATGGATCTGCACTAACGTCTCCAGTTGATTGAACCGGCAGTCATGGCGGAGTCAAAACCCTAAAACCTGCAAAAGAGCCTTAGGGTCTCCCGAGGGTAGACACTCCGATACTTAAGTCAGTAAGAGTAATTGTTAATAGGGTATGAATTGTGGTGTGTAGAGCGTACCTTTGATAATAGGGATTGATCCCTATTTATAGAGCTAGATTATGGAACCTTTTCTTAGTAGGAAAGTAATTGACAACCGCCCTAAAAGCTTCCAGGGGCCGATTGGACCGCTCACCGAACTTGGGCCGGCCTAGTAACGGGCCGTACTATTTGGACTCGTCAATCATATTAATGGGTGCTGCATTGTTAAGTCATAAGTGTGTTTGTGATTGTGACCCTTGGTATTCTTCGCACTCTTTGCAAAACACAACCATACATTATGAGGTTACAATTAACTACTCCCACACAAGATTCAATGTTGTTCCGAGTTTGCATCCTCAATCCATTTTGCATTTCTCATACTCAGTAACGGATATAGAACGAATTTTTACATGGGGCCATAAATACATTAGCGAAAAGAATTTCATAACATCATTGTATTTGTGTTGATCACATTGAATTTTCTTATTTTGATTTTTTAAACCACTTTCATATCATTAGTGTATTCTATAAACATATTTTTAGTATAAAAATTAAGCCAAATATCATTCAAGTGTTAAGTATTTCATACACGAACATTTGAATAATAGTGTTCATAGCTAAAAACTCTTTGTACCACTATTGCATCAATAACCAAAATCATAACTTTTTTAAACATTAAATTTTTTCAATTAAAAACACTTACACCCATGCATGTACATGTACAGAAAAAGAAAAAAAAATCTTTCAAACACATGATGAGATATCTAAATTATGGAATAAGAAACATTTATTCAAGAATTTATGCATCATTAGTATAATTATAATTCACAAAACTTGTAACTTTATTTGATTTTTTTTTTATCATATAGTACTTATTAATTAATACAATTTCATTTTAGATATTGACCATATTTAATCAACCCAATATAAAATTAATAAAATGTAAATTAAGCAAAAAAAATAAAAGTAAAAAATTACATAAAATATAATTTTTGTTTTTTTTTTTTAATTTAAAATACTAAAAAATATCTATTATAAAAGACTTGTGGTGGAGCCAGTAGGGGCCAAGACCCCCATGGCTCCATTGTAAATCCGCCAATACTCATACTACCGAGGGGTTTAACAAAATCCTCCTGTACACATACTAGCACCTCGATCAGGAACACCGTATAGAATATTTATTTATTTTTATTTTATTTTATTTGTGTCTCTCGTAAAGAAATGGAAAATATTCTTCTTTTTAATTTTATTTATTTATTAATTTAATTTAATTTTATTTTTATTTTTACTTACAAGAAAGGAAGCAGGTGCTAGGAAAACTAAACTAAAGCAAACGAGAATGAGCAAACACCTGCAAGGTTGTGGTTGATCCATCCAAGGAATGAAACCAATTAATATGACATGCATGATGCAACCAATCAACTCCCTGGAGAAGTCATAGGAATTTTAAGGAAAAAAATGGTTTCACACATGCCTGAAGCCTGGGCTGGGAGTACCGGGAGATGCCAAGAATTCAATCACAGATCAGTATCGTGGTTGAGAGTTTTCTGGTATCCAACTTCCTTCAGCATAATAACATTTTTTATTTTTTATTTTTTCTGAAGTTATGTGACAGACTGGTGCTATCAATCAGTGATAGATTGATGGTTAACGTTGCAACTTAAATTGCATGAGAGCCTCCATGTATAACTTGTTGCAATATCATTCATTTGGTTTGTGTTTCTTTTTTTTTTGTTGGTTGTAGGATTTAGGTCTCACCGTTTCATGCCCACATTCCCAAGATTGCAAAAGAGTAAGTTGTTCCCTTTTCTTTTCCCTTCCTACCAGATTCATAAACAAGAGATTGATTCACAAGCACAGTTACGTGATGCTCTTGAATCTGTGAGGAAAGATCAAGGACTACCTATTGATTACATGAACTGTTCTGACCTACAATAACAGGAGGAGTAGCAGCAGTCTTCGATTGATATAGTTCGATTCATCTTAATTCACCGAGCAGTATTAAGAAAACTATATAGATCTAGCTTTTATCGAGCATAAAGTCTTGAGAACGAATTACATAGATCTTCCAATGAATATGTAACATAATTAAGGTGGAATTTCTCCAAAACAGACCTTTTTTAAAAAGGGATTAAAGACGTACACAAACAGTTCCATTTAGACATTAATGAGATCAAATAACGAGAGACATAATTGCCTCTTCTTCGTACAGGGACAATGCTCAAAGAATATGTTAAGGTGTATTATCTTGTCTTAAATCGCCAGCATGAAGAGAAATGACTCAGTATTAAGTTCCAAAGGCTACCACACTCGGAATGAAACCAGAAGGACATAGTAGTGAATTTTTAAAAACATCCGAAAAACATGAAAGAGATAGACGGAGGAGACGATCGATCAAATCAGTGGGGGGATGCTCTGCTCGTTCTTGAAGTAATTATGAGGGTCAACCATGGTCTTCACCCGAACAAGTCGAAGGTAATTATTCTTGAAATAGCAAGCTGCCCATTTCTGTGCTTCTAAAACACTTGTATCCCCGACCTCATTGTTCACTCCCAAATCCAGGTCCCTATAATCAGCATCAGCGCCTCTCGGGTTAATATCCACAAACTGACCAAAAAAGGTGTTGAGTCTTCGGGCCGATGCGAAACGCTCTTGGATCAAGTCTGGATCAGTCCCCTGCCACTGGATCTTCTTGAACACCATGAATATCTTGCCAGCCCTGTGAGGGAATGGGATTTCTGATTCAGGGATTTCAGCCATCCTTGCCCCAAATGGCGTCCAATTCAGTAGAACCGGTGGGGAGCTAATATTATGCATCACTTCCCTCATTCCTCAAGCCCCTGTTTGGGGATTGGGTTCTGAACAAAGTCTGCTGTTGATTTGAAGTAACTCTTTGGGTTCAGAGAGAGTCTGCTTGTTAGTATGGTATCTGTTAAATTCAATGGGCGTTGATAGAAATATGTGAGGAAATCAACCCAGCTTGGTAAAGTGATGCAGTCATCTCTTACCAAACCCAATTCGGGAAAAGTTTGATTCATTATGCTCACCAGATCATTAGCTCCACCTAGAAACAGGGAAACGAAGGTGGCCTGAATGGTTTTTCCGTCAGCCGTTTGATTTGACGGAACGACCGTCAACTGGAGCTCAAGAAGCAATTCCGGTGGCAAATTTGGGGCAACGGTTTGCCATTTGTAGACAAGATCCGTGGCGTTCTGCTCCAGGGTTCTTTTGAGACTGAAGGCTGTGAGTTGCTCTTTAGGGACCTCAACTAATTTGAGTTTGTATTCGAGAATGACACCAAAACTGGCTCCCGTTCCTCCTCTAATTGCCCAGAAAAGATCCTCCCCCATCGAAGCCCGATTGAGAATCCTTCCTTCCGCGTCGATTACGCGAGCATCAAACACGTTGTCAGCCGCAAGCACGAATTTTCTGACCAGGCAGCCGTATCCGCCTCCGCTAATATGCCCGAACGATACCGACCTGCGGATAATAACCCGCTGGGAAGGCTAATGAACTGTTTGCTTGAACAATGTTGTAGTAGGTTTCACCAAGTGTTGCTCCAGCTCCAACCCAGGCTGTTTTGCTGATAGCATCCACCGAGATGGATCTAAAGTTGTACATGTTAAGGACGAAAAACGAGACATTCGAAACGTAGGAACTGCCTTCAAAATCGTGTCCCCCCCCTGAGAATCCTGACTTGCAGTTTATGCTTTTGTGAGCAATACAATGCGGTTTGGATCTGGGCTTCGTTTTCTGGAGCCAGGATCAGTTGAGGTTTTGGGGTGTTTGGCAGCGTGAATCTCAGGTTTTGGATGGAAACATTCAAGATGGAGGCGTAATATGAGGTATCTGGGGTCGAAATGACAGCAGAATTGCTGGAGTTGTTAACAAAACAGTTGATGAAGTCTTGGTACTGGGGATCAGCTGAAGTTGCCCATAAACTGGCACACAAAAGAAAACAAGCAAATTGAAATGCGATGTTTGGTTTCTTCATCTTGACAGGGGGGTTTGGGTTGAGGAAGATCACAGCTTTAAGGTCCTCAAAAGAATGGATCTGCAATATTTCGTTAAACAAGGTCAGACCCATATCCAACTACATAATGCAAATCTAACTGATTCACATGTACTCATGCTTCCGATGTGAGATTCATAATCCTTGCCACATGACTCTCAACATTCTCCCCCGTCATGCACAATCTTCACATCGGGCTTTCAAATTATCTTGACAAGCCCAAATCTGTACTCTACCTGAGTAACTGGGCCGTCCATCCCTACGTTTCCGCTCGTAATAGGCCTTTGACTGTTTGGGTTCAGTCATATCAACCAAGATAATTTGGGCTAAAACACCTACCCAACTGGCCCAACTTGGGCTCTGATACCACTGTTGTGGCGGAAAGGGTATAAACACAACAAACCAGTATAAACGATTCCCAAGAAAAAATTCCTTTCCTACTACCAATAAAATAGGACAACCAAACAAGTAAAATAATTCAAGAACTGATAAAATAAAGGAGGCACACGAATTTACGTGAAAAATCCAAATCGAGAAAACTAAGGGACTGTACAACAGTCAAATTTCCACTATCACAATAATAGAAAATAGTCTTCACCAACCGGTGGATACACAGGACTTCACCCAAAGGTGGATTACAATAATACTCTTCCACACACCCCTATCACAAAGTAAGACTGGAAGGATCTCACCAAAAGAGAGCTAAATCGAAAACTAAACTGGAGGGATCGTAGATCTTGTTGAGAGGAATACACATGCAAGCTTGCACCAATAACTGACTTTGTTTCGTCACCCGATCAAAGCCTTAAAGTGAAACACTTTCTTCTCGCAACACCAGAACCCAAAACCCTAGTTTTCACACCTTTTTTTTTTTCTCGCGCACAAAGCTTATGCATGGCTGAATTTTCTCGCACAAAACAAGTGCGGTTGCTGCTTTTGCTTTGGCTGAACTCACGACCAAAAAGAACAAGGACCATAAGGTTAATAGCCCACGGCCAAACCCCAAAGACAAAACCAAATGGGACTTAGTTTTATTATTTTATTATTTTGTTTTATTTCCTTTTCTTTGTTGCTGGCCCAATTTGAGGGGAACTCGAGCCCAACAATCTCCCCCTTCACCTCAATTAGGGGGTAAAACCAAACTCGCTTCCTACCTACAAAACAGGAGTCTCTACTCACAGTCTTCATCAACATATCGGCACCGTTGTCATCCGTATGAATCTTCTCAAGAAACAACGCCTTGGACTCCAACACATCCCGAATCCAATGATATCTCACATCAATATGTTTAGACTGCGAATGGAATGTGGAATTTTTCGCTAAGTGAATTGCGCTCTGGATATCACAATACACCACATACCTCTCTTGCTTCATGCCAAACTCTTGAAGAAACTTCTGCAACCAAAGTGCTTCCTTACAAGATTCAGTAGCTGCGATAAACTCTGCCTCTGTAGTAGACAAAGCAACACACTTCTGCAACCTACTCTGCCATGAAACTGCTCCCTCTCCATAAGTCATCAAGTATCTAGAAGTAGACTTCCGACCATCAAGGTCACCCGCCATGTTAGCATATGTATATCCATCCAACATGAACAAAGACTCAATCTGGAAGTACCCCTAAGATATCTGAGAATCCATTTCATAGCATTCCAATGCTCCTTACCAGGATTGGAGAGAAATCAACTAACAACACTAACTGCATGAGCTATGTCTGGCCTTGTGCAAACTATTGCATACATCAGGCTGACAACTGCCGAAGCATAAGGAACCTTTTTCATCTCTTCCTTATCTTTCTCACTTTTAGGATACTGCGTTTTGCTTAGCTTAAAATGCCCCGCAAGTGGAGTCGAGACTTCCTTAGCACCGCTCATGTTAAACCTATCAAGAACCTTTTCGATATACTTCTCTTGAGATACCCAAAGCTTCCCATTCTGTCTGTCACGAGAAATCTTTATCCCAAAGATCTGTCTAGCCGGACCCAAATCCTTCATCGCAAAGAACTTATTCAACTCCTTTTTCAACCTGGCAATCTTTGCAGTATCATGACCAACAATCAAAATGTCATCGACATAAAGCAAAAGAATTATAAAATCACCATCAGAGAATTTCTTCACAAACACACAGTGATCGGCTGTAGTCCTTTGGTATCCCTGCCCTATCATAAAGGCATCAAGCATCTTTTACCGCTGCCTCGGAGCTTGCTTCAACCCATACAAGCTTTTGTTGAGACAACATATAAGCTCTTCTTTTCCCTTCTCCTGAAACCCATCTGGTTGCTCCAAGTGAATCTCTTCTTCCAAATCACCATGCAGGAAGGCTATCTTCACATCAAGCTGTTCAATCTCAAGATTCAAGCTGGCTGCTATCCCAAGCACAACTCGAATCGAAGATATCTTTACAACAGGAAAGAATATCTCATCAAAGTCTACGCCCTTTCTCTGATTGAATCCCTTCACAACCAATCTAGCTTTGTACCTCGGTTGTGAGCTGTTCTCACTTGTTTTCAGTCTGAACACCCATTTATTCTTGAGTGCTCTCTTTCCCTTAGGCAGCTTCACCAGGGCATACGTGTTATTCTCATCCAAGGATTTGATCTCATCTTGCATGGCTGCTAATCACTGATCTTTCTGCTCATGACTAAGAACTTCTTCATATGACTCTGGTTCTCCCCCGTCAATAAGAAACAAATACTCATGAGCACTATACTTGGTGGAAGGTTTCTTGTCTCTGGTGGACCTCCTTGGCTGGACAGGAGGTGATGAAACCGGTGGCGTCTTTGTGTCAGAAGTAGAATCATCATCAAACTCACTATTGTGCTTTGTCTTAGCTCTCCCTTCAGGAGAATCATCTGATTGTGGAGGAACTAGATCTAGATTAATAGGAATCTCAGGTGAAGATTCTGACATCTCGCTCTTTCTCATATCATCAATGGTCTGGTCTGCAAAGAAGATCACATCTTTGCTTCTGAAAACTTTCTTCTCTACAGGATCCCAAAGTCTGTAAGCAAAATCATCATTGCCATACCCCAAGAATATACACTGCTTGGATTTTCTATCAAGTTTTGGCTTTTCGCCTTTGGGAATATGAACAAAGGCACGACAACCAAAAACTTGCAAATGTCCAAATGAGACATCTTCCCTGTCCAAACTCGTTGTGGTAGATCACCATCCAATGGAACTGAGGGAGATAGGTTGATCAAATCAATTGTTGTCTGCATGGCTTCACCCCAAAAAGATTTAGGCAGCTTTGCATTCAAGAGCATACACCTAACCTTTTCAGTAATAGTTCTGTTCATTCTTTCTGCCACGCCATTCTGTTGCGGAGTCTTTGGAACACTCTTCTGAAGTTTAATGCCATGGTCTCGACAATACTCCTCAAACGGACCCCTGTACTCACCACCATTATCTGCTCGAACACACTTCAACTTCTTGCAAGTCTCTCTTTCAACTCTAATGTGAAAGTCTTTGAACTAATGGTTCATTATCTAATTGGAAATATATTTGACTTAGCAACCAATTAGTGCGGAGCAGTGCCTGTATTGCAGCGTCTAGATCCTGAAGAGGGTAATCCTTCTCTGGAAGTATTCTAGCATTTTCAAATATGTCAGAGGTAGAAATACTTTGGCTTAGATGTTGTACCAATTCGAAATATTTAGTTTGCGTCAATGGTAAACAACTTCCGGGGTGTTGCCATTCCCTTCTCCTATGACTTTGATTCCTGTCTGGGCCAGCTGATGTTATGCCCATATTCTTTCTCATTCTTCCACCTCGTCATCAGCCTGCATAAACTTCTTTTTATGCTTCAGAGAATCACCAAAACTAAGAAATAAAGAAAGGAAAGTGAAAACAGAGGAATAAAAAACAGAGTATTTTTCAAATTCATAAACCTTGGCAGTGGAATTAATTCAATCAAGAGTACATGCATTCAGAGGAATATATCTTCTGCGGGGATTACCATTAAGATAGGTACTGTAATTCATGGGCCAAAGACCAAAAAGTTTCTTCAGGTGTATTATCTTGTCCCACATCGCCACCGTAAAGAGAAGTGACTTTATATATAAGTGCCAAAGGCCACCCCACTCATTACCAATTGGTTTTGAGATGGGAGCTCAAAATACTTATATACTTTGACATGACATCAGAACGGTTTGGGCCTGTGGTGGTGTTCTGGATTGGAGGTGGCCCGTAGTGATTTTATATTCTCTCATTTGAGCGTTGACTCGTGGGTTTGTTGTGGACAGATCTAACGGTATAACTGAGTTTTCTCCCACTTGAGCGTTGACTCGTGGGCTTGTTGTAGACCAATCCAGTGGTATAATTGGATTTCTCCCACTTGAGCGTTGACTTGTGGGCTATTCTATTCTTGTCCCGATCCAAGTCCATTGGGCAAAAAGTTCAAAGATCTATTGGACTTGAGGGAGGGTATTCAGATGTATTATCTTGTCCCACATCGCCAACGTGAGCACAAAGTACTTATATACTTTTACAAAGTACGAAGTGATCTGGACATCTCTTGCATGTACAATGATGGTTACCTGGATTCGTACGAAATCCGTTTTGCCAGACAAAAGCCAATATTAAGCAATCCACCGGTGCTTGAGCAGAGCTGCCATGAGTACAAAAATGGTGGTAGAGTTTTGGAGATTGGAATGAAAGAATGATGATGGAGTGATAAGGGGTCTCAGGCTTTGGCATTCTAGCTCAGAGCCTCCCACTATATACATAGAGCAGATGCAGTGGAGGGCTTTTTTGATTATGAGGGTATGTTTGTTTTTTTTTTTTGTGTGTGTGTGTTTTAGGTGTTTTTGTATTGAAATTGTAAAAAAGTGTATTAAAAATGTCAAAAGGTATGTTGAGATGAGACAGTTATTATTAAAATAATTTGAAAAAAACTATCCAAAAAACTAAACAAACAGAGCAGGTATCTTTCTGGTTTGGAACCTTTGGCTTCATTTCAGTACCTTTTTTTGATTTGGATTTACTATTGTTCCCTTAGATTAATCCCCATCCCGTTGTTGTTCGCAGCCTCGTTCTGGGAGTTTAGAAGGGAACATTTTCATCTACAAAAAAGGTACCTTTCTCGTTTAATACCTTGGCTTGGATTTGGATTTCGGTCCCTGAGAATGAGATATTCATTCCATTTGTTTTCAACCTCCTTCGAGTATGGCAAGTCAATGTAGGAGACTGTAACCTAATCAAAAACAAAAGAAAAGGGGTTCCAAAGACGATCCTAATCAGTCCCATGTTCAATTCTAATG